TCTTCATTTTGAATCATGCTGTGTCAAGCTGTATAGGCTTGTGGCGATATTTTGTTTCAGCACATAATTTTCTTTACAACTCCTGCAGTTGAAAAGACACCCAAGTATATAGAAAAAAACCTAAACTGAATGAAAAGATCATCTGGTATCAGTATCAGCTATCCTTGGAGTGCTTGATATCAACTGTGAATTCAGTTGGCCTGAGACTTGGAATTGTGTATAGTCGCCATTTTGATTTCCACAAAAAACACTCCCACCTGTCCAATGTAATGCAATAACATGATAGGAGAAGGCAATTTACTCCTGGAGTTAGGCTGAAGAAAAGCCAGCTTCCATTCAAACAAATTTAAAATACTGGGGATCAACCATGAAACAATAGCAATAGCACTTAGACTTATATACTGCTTCACAGTGCTTTACTGCCCCTCTCTAAGTATTTTACAGAGTCAGCATAGTGCCCCAATAATCTGGGCCCTCATTTTACTGACCTCGGAAGGATGGAAGGCTGAGTCAACCTTGAGCGAGTCAGGATCGAACTGCTGGCAGCAGTAGTCAGCAGAAGTAGCCTGCAGTACTGCATTCTACCCATTGCACCACCACGATACAAAACACAACTAATAACAACTAAATAATTTGTTAAACAAGTTTATTTGCACAAGTCTGTGCAAATAAGTTAGAGACAAGATATCCTAAAGTAATGGATTGCACAGTTAATACCAGAGGTTGCTTGAAAAATATTGTACAGAAATATTCAAAATGTAATTTGTTGCAGAAATGATTAAATCTGATCTTGAACAAATAACCACAATAAGAGCATTTTTCTAGATTAAATCTTCAGAATGCATTTCACTGATCCCATCTTTCTGTAGTAGAATCCCTTTTTCTTCCACCACTTAAAATGCAATTTCAAAGTAAATTTAATTCAGTGTAATGAGGAGTTAAGCTTTCTACATAAGTTTATTACAAAAGCAAACAAAACCACTTCCTGATTATGTGTAACATTTTTGAGAAATTATGGGTTATATTCCAGCATTACATGATTAACAATACCTTTTACAAAAACACAACCTACTAAACATGGTGCTAGAGGCCATGCTTGGGATACTGTGTGCAATTTTGGTTGCCACAATGCTCAAAAGATGCTGAGACCTTAAAGGTAAGAGGTTTGGAGGTTAAATCATATGAGGAATGGTTAAGAGAACTAAGGATGTCTAGTTCAATGAATAGGGGTGGCATGACAGTTACCTTCTGGTATTTAAGGGTCAGTCACAGATATTGCTTATTCTTCAAAGCAACTGAGGGCAAAACAAGAAGCAATAGATGGACACTCAATAAAGCAAGATCCAACCTGGAACTAAGGAGAAGCTTCCTGACATTAAGATCAATTAATCAGAGGAGGAGCCAACATCATGACGATACGGACGTGCGGTCTCGATGCTGCGAGACTGCAGCCGATACTTTTGCCACTGGGTGGTCCAATCGGACCTAAACCGTCCCGCAGAGACGATAAACAGCAAGAATACGTCTTGCTGATCTCAGGGACATCGCAAAGGCCCTGATCGATCCAAGAGAAGTTCTTCAAGCTGGCGACAAAAAATCCAGCCATTAGGCTGATAAAGTTGGGGCGGCTCCAAAACGGAAGGATACGGAAAGAGAAAGTGTTTCCAGCTGGTGAGGAATTTTTACCGTTTTAAAAGAGACTGCCTATAAAAAACTTTAAATTAATTTAAATTAGAGAACAGAAGAAATAAATGGCGGAATTAAGTTTGGAATGGTTTTGGACAGTGGGTTATCTTACTTTTTAAATGCTATGTTCATGGATGGAATTTATGCAAGCCTTTCAAAACGAATGGGTTAAGTTTTTTTCTTCTATTTTTTTCTTTTATTATTCTTTGTAACCTGTTGTGACTCAGCAG